AAGTAAGATCTGTGTAGAACAGATCTGGAAGAGAGGACTGATCTCAGCAGTCCTAGAACAGTTCGTGGGTGAGGGTTCAGCCTGCAATAGCAGTGGTTAGCGCGTGGTAGAAGCCACAACAGCAAGGTCCAGGCTGCGGCAACAGTGGCTAAACACAGCAGAAGGGTTTCAGTTCGGTGCTTCAGCAGTTTGGTGGCAGCTTGCAACAGCAGTTGTTAGAGTAGTACTGCAGAGTGGAACTTGGTATTTCAGTCCTGATACGGACCCTCCGGTCTGAGTTTACAGTGCTGCAAGCTCCGTAGTCTGAAGTGGTTTCATATAACTTGTGTGACAGTTTTTGGTACTCTTGCAAGTCGGAGAAGATGTCTTCAATATCCGGGGAAGTGTCTTCTAGAGATGTTAGGGCTAGTGGGAGGTCTCCTAATCTGGAGAACCCAAATCTGCATAGCCTGCAGATAACAAATGTGTTGCTAGACGAATACAACTTTAGGGAATTGTCTGTTTCAGCAATGCTCTTGATCACATCCCGGGATCTTACCGGCTACTTGGACGGGCAGAAGAAAGAACCCGAAATAGGGAGTGCTGAATATGCTATTTGGAGAAGAGAGAATGCTACAGTCATGTCCTGGCTACTTGCTTCAATGAGTACTTGAATGCGCACAAGAGGAAGGCCCATTGCTCGGAGTAGGAGCAACAACAATGGTCCTAGGTGGTTGATGATTCAACCATATCTCTCATACTCTACCCTTGTGGTTGCAAGCTGTTCCCCAACAAATTTATCCTCATCAATTCCCTTCTCACCGTCAAAAGAAGAATTGTTGCCTTTCCCACTCCCATTCTTCCTGTTGTCGTAAGTGTGTGGGTGCAGTTTCTAGCATTTGTCCTTTGTGTGTTTAGGTTTCTTGTAGTATTCACAAACAATGTCCTCATCAGCACCCCTAGGCTTTCATTTTAGCATTTGCAAAGTGATCAATTGGTGCCTTTGGAACCTGGACCTGCCTCCTGCTTTCCTCACTACTGACCATTGCATAAGCCTGAGATAAGGTGACTTAATCTTTTGCTAGAATATCCTGTTTGGTGATATTGTATTTTGGGTTGAGTCCAGTAAGAAACTTGAATACCCTATTCATCTCTACCAACTTCCATGAGTCTCAGCATCTTTAGTACTCTCCCACACTACAGTCTCCATTAGATCAATCTCCTACCAGAGAGATTTCAGCATTGAATAGTACACAGCCAAAGGCTTCTCCCCTTGTCTTAGATTATTCACATCACACCTCAACGTATAAGCCCTAAGCCCTAATTACATCCAATTTCTGTGAATAAGTTTTCCACCACACTATCACAGATTTCTTTTGTTGTATTCGTCCACAAGTAGTTCTAGCTAAAATGAGGCTGCATAGAATTTACTAACCAGTCAGTGACTATAATTCTCTTGCATCCATTTTTTCATAACTGAGATCATCTTCTGCCAGCTTTTTCTTACTCCTAGAAATAAACCCTCATTTGCCTCTAGTGCATACATGAATCTTTATGGACTGCGACCAACCCAAATAGTTGGTTCCATCTAGCTTTACAGTGGTCACAGCTGCTAATAGGGTGTCTATATCCCTCCTAAACAAAGCCTGGAATCAATATTTTGCTTACTCTCTACTTTGGATTGTTCCATTGGTCCAAAACTTCAACCAACAACAGTTTAGAAGCAAACGAAACAACCTGACCACAAAACACTGACCTCCAAGCAAAGAAAACTCAAAAACTTAGGTTTTCACTGCCCTGCAATCCTGGGAGAAACAAGGAAAAATTCAGCTGTTCCAACTAGGGCTGTCTGAAAGCTCTCTTGCCTAAATCAATCTCAAATAGGGATGAAAAGAAGACCAAAGCGCCATACTAGATTTGTCTCTTTGATCCTTAATTCAAGTTTCCTTTTGTTTTCTCTAGTCGGATTAGGGTTTGGGCAGGGAACTCTGAGACATTTCCTTGCACTGTTAACAGCAACAGGAAAAACTCCAAATACTCCTTCCAACTAGGCGAACACAGTGGAACAGAAATCAGCTCTCTATACTTCCATACACATGGCTGATCAGATTGTGTATGGAGTCACTGGAGAAAGAAAAAAGAGAGAAAGGTGCTCTGATTCCAAGAAGAAATATAGAACAGCAGTAAAAGATGTCTTAACTGGAGAAATAAAAGAGAAAGAGGGAGGAAGAAGTTCAGATCAGAGAGAAGAATGAAAGGAGGAAAATATCAGTTCGTTAATCTGTCTTCAATCCCCTATTAACCATTTTAAACATAATATGTAAATTACAATAGTGCCCCTAGGAGGGTGGCAGCTCTATGAACACAAATAAAAGAACAACATGCCTATAACCAAGGCCCATTAGCCCAAGAAATAAAACTAATGAAGGACTAAAATAACTAGGGAAGGACTGGGGCCCACTTGGCCCTAGGAATGGCAACGGGCGGGTTTAAGGCAGGGATCATATTCCCTGTCCCCGTCCTTGCTAGGGATAAAAGTTGTCCTCCATCCCTGATGGGGATGGGTTCCCCGCGGGGACCTGAATCCCCAAAATTTTTTTAGATTATAGTATTTTTGAAAAATAAATTAACTTAAAATAAATAAAAATTTTAAAATATAAATAATGTTTTAAATATGTTTTGATATATATATATATATAATTGGGGTCGGGGTGGGGACCTCAACCCCCATACCTGACCCCGACCTCGATCGGGGATTCCTATTAATCCATGTCCCCGTCCCCGCCCTGCCAAACCAATCCTCATCCCCAACCCCATCGGGTTGTGGAAGTCGGGTCCCCGTCGGGGATGGAGAAAATTGCCATCCCTACTTGGCCCTCAAACCCAGAGAAGATTTGAAGAAACTTTCAGGGGTTTTGTTTACCAATACAACGAACATCCTGAGCTAATCTAGCTGACTATACCACTTTATGGCTTTTTTTGCTCTTCTTTTATGATTTTTTTTTTTTTTTTACAATTTTCTTTTCTTATGGTTTGTAGATATCTGGGATAACTATATGTAATGCAAACTTTCAGTTTGCAAGCTTTGCACATAGCACATGTAACATGTAACATGTGGTAGCCCCGGTACATGTCAGTTGAATTAATATACTTGATATCTTATTCTTAACTGTTTTCTTTAATGGTTAGAAAGAATATCCAAATAAATTGGTAATATTTTGAAACTGTATAAATGGTATATATAAATAGCATTTGGAGGGTAGTGCATGTAACATGTTGCAATATTAATGTATTTTATATTTACCTGTATCATACTCAGGTTTTCCACATCCACATCTCATATGATTGTATATTGCAGGTGACTTTCACAGAGGAACATGTGTCATTTTTACACTTCTTGACTAATGTTTGTGCTATTGTTGGAGGTATTATTACCACCCTTATCTCTCTCATATAAACACATACACACACAGACACACAAGGCCTCCTCTGTCAAGCAAGTAGACTATAATCTTAAAACTTTTATTCCTTTGTTAGCTTCAGTGTCAACTTTGTAGTTTAGGTATGAATGCATGCGGATTAGGCACAATTTTATGAAGGTATATCTTTTGATAAATTTTGTTAGCATGGAGTGGTTTCCCAAAAGGAAGACTTGAGGTTCATGGAGAGTTTGACACAGGAGCAGCTTTTCATGTATAATTTTTTTCTCACAAATGTAATGTGCTCTTGTTAGGCTATATGCAGTCATCCTCAGCATTTTTTGAAGATGTCTTCTATTATTACTCATGTTTATGAATGCAAATATGATATTATCCCAGTAATTGTTTTAAAAGGTGGTGAGGCATACACCTTTAGGTGAGGAGCCAAACCGCCTTCTGTGATTAGGCATATGCCTCACCTAAGTAATATTAAAATATTAAATATAAAACATTAAATCTAGAATATTAAGTATATAATATAAAACATTAAATATATATATGACATGTAATTTATGTATAAAATTTATGTTATAATTAATAATTTATATAATATAAAATAACAGACAAAAGTCTCATTATTTCGCAAGGCCGGGCTACAAACGATCACCCCTAGTTACATTTAAAAGTCTTTTACAATATATCTCTTAAACCCAAAGAAGTTTCATTGTTTTTCTACTAAAAAGTAAATATAACAATAATCATAGTGTGTGGCTCTATGTCTTAATGTACCACATGTGAGAATAGCATCTCCATTTATATATTGACCTATGACATGATAGTGGGACTCACCAATCTAGACAGTAAAGATGATATTTGGTTCTAATAAAGTAGTATATTATAAAGATATTCATTTCAAAAAGTTTATAAATTAGTTGATATTGAAAACTAGACTAGAGTATATGTAAATGAAGTAAAAGATTGTTTTTTATCAATAAAAATGTTATTTTATTTAGGGGAAAAGGTTATTAATGTATAGTAAAATTTAAAACAAAGAAATTCACATTAAGGCCCCTTTCGTTTACCGGTAAATAAGAGGGGGGAAAGTTGATCAATGGGTATCTGTTTCCCACTGACCAACTTTACAATGTTGTACTGGGCCCAACGGTAAAGAGAGCCTCATTTACTTGGGTAAAACTTACCCATGTCCGAGGTGGGTAAGTAACTTTCCCACTCGGGGGGAAAAGTTTATAAAACACAATAGGACAAGTTTGCCCATTTTAACATTAGCTTTTTATGGGTAAAAAAGTTGTTATATTACTTACCCGGAAATCAAAAGAACATGGATAAGTGAGTTTACCCGGGTAAGTGAGAAATTTGTAAACTAACAAGGCCTAAAAGGAATATACATGTAATGAAAGGTAAATGTATAATTTAATTGTGGAAAATAGCATACCTGAAAATAATGTATAATTTATTGTATATATATCACTTGAGGCTTACACCTTGCCTCTGACACCCAACCACCTTACTTCTGCCTTTTGCCTTTTAATGCTTGATCCCAGTGGAGCCTCTTGACAAACTACTGAATTTGATCTTTATTGAGTTTCATGTTCCAATACACCACCAACATAACAAGTCCTACCCCCCTTGGATCTTCTAATTCATGCAACTAGCGTATGAAGTTTTAAGTTCTTTTGACATGATGAAATTGAGGTCTTCCTGTTTCTGTAGTTGGAAAATTCCACAATGAACTCTTTACTTTTTATTTTGTGGGAACTAAGTGTGTAATTTACTGTTTTAAATTCTGTAATTAGTGGACAACCGTGAAATTTCATACCCCAAGTTTCAATAAATTTTTGGATTGCAGCATCCGATCTACAATTGTGAATCTTTTTTTTACTTACTATGATTTTCTTGTATTTTGGTTCAGGTATTTTCACAGTTTCGGGAATAGTAGATTCATTCATATACCATGGCCAAAGGGTGATAAAGAAGAAAAGTGAAATTGGCAAGTTCAGCTGATTTTTTGGCCATTACATATAAATTTCAGTTTTATCGTTCATGGCCTTATGGGAAGAATTGATAAATGGAAGAAACAATCGACTGGGTTTTCCCTTGGATTTTGATCTGGGCCCTCGGGATCCTTTAACTCAAAAGAAGAATGTCATGTAGCAAGTTCCATCAATTAATGAGGTTAATTTTCTTCTCTTCTGTTCTAACTTTTTCTCATGTTTTCTATTTATTATATTCTAACTGCAATATGAATTTCTGTTCTGGAAGTAGATTGATATTACTGCTTTTATCGAAAATGTTGCTTGGGGTGTCTCCCGAAAGGCTGAAACCATCTTACTATCTTACGTGATCAATTCAGAAGTTAAACGATTGTATACAGTTTACGTCAGTGTTTTCGAACCGTCGTTGACCCGGACAGTCTGGACCTTTCAGCCTGGGAACCATCCAGGCAACTGGTTCCATTTCACCCTTAACCCGCTGACCAAGGTGGTTAAACAATTTATTGGTTTGACCCGGACAACAGTTTTTGATCATTTTTATTTTAATTCTTTTAATTTGTGATGGGCCATCTATTTGAATGAGATGGTCAAACCGCTGAAACAGAAACTGGTGGCCATAGCGATTTCGATCCGGGTCGGTTTTTAAAATATTAGTTACGTTTCACTGGTGCAAATGATGAAGTGGTGTTGGATTCATGGACCTCATTAACAACTTAAATTTGTAGGTTGAATGGTTTCTTGACAGTGGGTGGGCCTGTGCATGGCCATGCTTCAAGCCCAATAGCCCTTTATGTGAGGGAGTTTCTATAACATTGGTTTACGTTTCACTGGTGCAGAGGATGAAGTGGTGTTGAATTCATGGACCTCACTAACAACTTAAATTTGTAGGTTGAATAGTTTCTTGACAGTGGGTGGGCTTGTGCATGGCCATGCTTCAAGCCCAATAGCCCTTTATGCTAGGGAGTGTGTTACAGAATAAAAACCTTTTCAAAGATCTCACTTAACAACAAATTACTAATGCCAGAGGATGTAGATGTAATAGCATTTTGATCTTTCTTGTTTGATGGTTTGTATCATTCGTGTCCTTATTTCTTTAGACTGTCCATGATTTGTAGTGTAGGACATTATCAAGGCTCAGTTTGGGAAAAGTGCAAATACAATTTGTTTGATGTAAAACTTTGTAAATGGTATTTCAAAACCTTGTATTTGTGTACATGTTTGTATTTGTATTTTTCCAGGGCTCAGTTTGGGAAGAGTACAACTACAAAAATGTACAGTACAAAATCTTGTATATTATATATTTATATTTATATACCTTATATTTGTATTTTGTACTGCACATATTTGTATTTGTACTCTTTCCAAACTGAGCCTTAAGCTATATTTGGTTGAAGTGCAATTTTAATTTGCACTAATACAAATGCATATGAGTGCAGATGAAAACAAAATAAGATAAAATTTGTAACAAAAATAAATCAAAATTCACACTCAAATCATATGCACCACTAGGGATGTCAATGGACTGGTTTTGGATTGGACCTATCCAAACCAAAATCTATCCGAACTAGTACCACTGGTTTTTTTATTTCTCCAAATCAAAACTGAGACGGTATCACCGGTTAATCGGTCCGTCGGTTTCATTTTTTGATCGGTTTGGTTCTTCGGTTTTTTAGCTTTTTATATTTATATATAATATATAGAAAATATGTGATATATTAAAAACCGAACCAATCCTTTGGTTAATCGCCGGTTTTTTTATAGGTTAACTAAAAGTCAAACCGATCCTTTGGTTTTTTAGAAACACCAAATCAAAACCGAACCGATTGGTTTGGTTAAGTGCATTTTTTGGTTCAGTTTTCTCGATTCAGTTCGGTTTTTCGGTTTTTCATGGACACCCCTAGATTGGACGGACCAACAAGACATTGAATTGGACCAATGTAGACTTAATGGTCCAAAGTATTTATTTGATTGGATTAGACCTGGTCCATCCATAATGAATTTATATTGGATTGAGGTAATATATAGTCGATTGATATAAAATAAGAACAGAGGTGTCCATGGACCATATTTGAGTTAAAACCAATGTAAATTAAAACAATTGTGAACAGATTGGACATCTAGATATTAAATTGAACTGGTCCAAAATGGTCCAAAATGGTCCATACCATCTGTTATAAAACCTCGACATACCATACCATCTGTTATAAAACATGATGAGCTTCGGAGCTTGTCATTTGAATGTGACATCACATGACATCTTTCAAAACCCTAAAGATTGTAATTATAGCTTGTCATTTGAATGTGTATCGGGATGTTTCAGATCTGTATCAGCCAATATGGGCCCGAAACAGTCAGTTTAATTTTTCTTCATTAATTAGTTAATTACTCCAAGGCAAATTTAAATTTAAATTTGAATTTTATCGCCTAATTCAAATTCTCTCATTAATTCTTTTAATTAATGATCATCTTTCAATAATTTTGTTTTGTTTTGTTAGTGTAAAAACTTCAAATTTTAGCAATAGCAAGATTTGAACCTTGAACACTTGATTTTAACAAACACAAGTTAGCCAATGAGTCAAACATATTTGTTTGCTATAATTATATGCATTTTTTATCGTAAATTAATTTTCACTTTTCTTAATGAGTGACAAGTGTTTATTAATAAATGTTAGAATTAACTATTAAAATTTATATACTAATAAATATTAAGATTAATTATATTAGTTTTTAAAAATTGACATTCACATATTTGTTTTTTTTTTGTTTATTTTACATTCTAGTTATTCCATCATTTTTAAATGATTACTAATTGTTTCCCGATATGTCACACTTTATATAAACCATTAAATTATAGTTTTTTACATTTAAAAGACTTATTCACAATCATATAAAATTTGTAAATATATAGCTAGTAATATATTTTTTAGGATTTATTTGAATTTTTTACCATATTTATGCATATCTTGATTTTTCGCCCGCATCCATATGTATCCAAAGCGTCGTCTCTTAAAATTGTCTTTCCAATACACCTTATATTTTCAATTCTTTGAACCTTGGTTTTACCCTTTTGCACTGAGCATTGTTGTTGCCCCTGCCTCCTTGGATTTTGTCCCAACAAGCATCCCAACAAGTGTCCCAACATACCCCTACAACCGCACATTGGGAAGATGTTCCCAATGTATAGCTGCAATGCCTTCTTGGGACATGATCCGGACTCTTGGTCTGCAACTCCATTGTGGAGGTTCAAATTGAATTTGAAATAGATTTCTCTGCATTTTCTCTGAGTTATAACTTCCAATAACTGCAAGGATTCTGATCTTCCAACAGATTGCCAAATTGCCCATTTGAGGCTAACCGGTTCGTGGCCTCCGGGTCTCCGAACAGCCATATATACTCATCAATCATCACAACTACCGCTATGGTAATCGGACCCCTGACCAGTTTATGGTCTCTGCGTCAAATGTTAGTTAATTTTTAAACAGTTAAGGTACATTAGTGAATGAGATAAACCATAAAGGTAGTTTAAGAAATTTATCCAATACTTAAATTACTCCTATTATTTGAAAAATAACTTAAAGTACCCCTTTTTTATTTCAACAATTGACGATCTATAACATCTGGTAAAAGAAAAAACGGAAAAGACTACTTCTTTCATTTTCATTTAAAATTTCAAAATTCTACCATCTAGATACCAGAGCTTTTTTTATTGTTTTTTCAACAAAATACAATAAAAAACCATCATATTAGCCCAAAACGGAAGAACACCACAAACAAAACATACAAGATAATTCCGACACTCCAGATAATAACTTCGGGTCCATAGTTGCGCTATGGACTAAATCATACATCATATTTTAGGGTAAAGAGACTTAAACCTCCCTTCAAATTTCTCCTGAATACCGAAACCTCCAACAAAATCATTAAAAAGTTTCTTTTGTCCTTATTAAATCATTAAATTTTCAAAACAGCGTAATCGTTTGAAAATAGAAAATAGAAAGTGCCCCTTCAGCTTCAAATTCCTGTCCTATTTCAAGCTATAATAATCATGGTTTTCAAAATCGGATTGGACCACAGTCAGGCTAGAAAAATCGGGAATTGGTCAGATGACTGATTTCGGTTTTCACACCACTGACCCGGGCGGTTAACTGTTCGAATCGTTCAAACGGTTTTGCCTGTTGTTTAAATTTTTTAATTTTTTTTCAAAACAGGCCGACTGTTTGAATTGAACGGTTGAACCGTTCAATCCGATAACTGGACCCCTGACCTGTTCGGTCTCCGGGTTGTTTTTAAAAGCCATGATAATAATTGAAACCGGGCAATTCCATCCACCTACTTGTACTTGTTTCAGCTATATATATTGGGATTTGTTGCACTTTTTTTGGCACTTCTTCGATAAAATTAGGGTTCCTAGCCAATAAGGTCAATTTTTTTGCCCCTAATATCAATAAAAATAACATTTTTCATATAATAACCAGAATGAGATAGCTTTTTTGAAAAAACATCAAATAAGGGCATTGGGTACTGTTGTTCATCTTCCTCTTCCTCTGTATTCATGCAAACGGAACTTTCACTAGAAATCCAAAGAGCTTTGGCAAACGGAACGAGACAAGAGCCCCTTTGCTTGCCTTACTACTCATGTAACGAAAATGTTGTATTGCAACGAGCTGCCAGTCATTCTACAATCAAACGATCTGCCGGAAATACAATGCAGGAAAAAAGATTCTTTTCTATAGCTCGTTGTCGTTTCTATTGCAAAGGTTGTTGGAATCCTACCAGAAATACGAGTTGTCGTTTTTTTCCGACTGTGCACATGAGAAAAGCCCATCGATTTATCACTGGGATTCTTGTTTTCTCTCATCCTTCTTTAAAAGTTCCATTTGCATGAATACAAAGGTAAAGGAAAAAGACGAGCAACAGTGCCCATTGCCCTTGTTTGATATTTTCCCAAAAATGTTATCCTGTTTTGGTTATTATATGAAAATATTATTTTTCATTGATATTAAGGACAAAAAGTTGCCCTTATCTGCTTCTTGAATTTTTTAGGGGAAAATTCTCAATAAGTACCTTGTACTTTAGGCTTAGTGCCAATTTGGTCTCCGAACTTTAAAACACAACTTTCAAAGTGCGACAATCTTGACGTCAACTCACTATTAGTCAGAATGCAAAAAGACATAACTACCCTTTGTGGTTTTACAATTGTATGAATTATTTTTTAAAATGACAAAAATGACCCCATTATAACATATTTTTTTCTCTACGAAACAAATCGCATTTGTTGCTGGTACAGCCTTGGAGTCACCAATCTATTGTCCTCTAGACCTCCCTTGTAAAC